TTTGGGTGAAGAAAAGAAAATAGGCGGTGAGAATATATCCCACGAAAAATCCAAATCCAGAAATTAGGATCCAAAGCGCGGCTGAGAGCGTTTCTAATCTTCGATTTAATGGTACTCTTAACGGAGCGAATTTCACTCCCAGAATCTCCATCGTTTTTCTCTCAGTTCCTCCTCTTATTACAGTAGCATCAATTCAGCGATTCTTCTTCGGCCTAGCTAATAATAAACCAATTCGTACTATCGTTATTATAAATTGTCGTATCAAGCAATTATCAAATTGTACAGCAAATACGAGCGAAGGGATTGGAAACAAAAGAATGTGAGCGAGAGAAGTAAAAACGAACGATGATTAAAAATTTGAAAGAGAATCGTATTCGTAGAATTAATAGAAACGATCACATGTATGTATATCCAAGTGATAAAATAATGAAACGGATCATTATCACCATCGAATGATCAAAAGCGTGAAATAAGCAGATTAAAGATATCAAATAGCAATATATGTCATCATTGCTATCATTAACAACACAATCTTTAATTCGGATAAGCTGTGTCTAGAGATCAAGGTTTACCAAAAAATCTGTATGTTTTCAACTGCTTAATGACGTTCAATGCGTCAGCTGGTGGACGATACTCTCTAAAAATAGAAATTCAGTACACGATGGACATAATCGAGAATACGTAATATTAACACAATCCTTCGACATAGTGCCATACTTAGAAAGTGATCGATTTCGAGTTCCTATGGCAAGCTAGCTTCATCATCAAATTTTACGCCCGATACCATTCTCCTCCGGCTGCTCCGTAACCAACGTAGGTTCTAATGATATTCAAGCGAGCAAACTCCACGCTATACTCGAGAAAAATTATGATTTATGTCTTCAGGTCGAAATGACTGTATATTATTCGCGTGTCGTTCGCGCAATGCATTCGAATTATTTATAAAAGCTACGCACGCGAGAAGAAATAGAATCGACTCGTTGGAGTAGAGTAAGCACGCCTCTTTCCATTGTTTCGAAGTAGATCGATTTTGTAGAATAAATGATTTTTACAACTCAAAGAAACCGTATCTTCTGTTTAACTGAACTTAAATGAGAATGTTATAGCGAGCACCTAAATGATATAGGAAACCTACTTTTTTATATTTCGCAACGATGTAATTGTAAAATGTATTATAAAATTATTTTTGGATATAGAAATGATTAGTTGTCTGAAGACGATTAGTTTAAAAAATATTTTGACTTTAGCTTTGTCAATGTTAGCTTATGAAAATGTAGAAGCGTATAAACAAATGAGACTTCCTGTATTTGAATGAATCATTCTCTACAGATAGGTCTTTTATTTCTTGTCAGTTTTTATTCTCTAAATGTTCTGATTACTTTATAGAAAAACAATTGAAAGCGAAAGCAATTGAATCTGAAAGCGTTTTCAATTAGCGTTAAACACATTCAGAAGTGAGAATACCTTATCCTACGGAGCACCGTATTGTAATTGCTAATTAAGCCTGTTCTCAGAGCTTGATGCCCCAGTTTATTCTAAGATTAATATATTATTTATTTATAGTTCTAGTACTATTATTTAATTCATGTGAAATTATTTATTTATTGTAATATAGTAGCATATGTTATAATGTAGTCATTACCTTACGTGTAGCTTCATTATATACATAATGTATGGTAATATATCATAATGAACATGTATGTCAAGTTCTCGTTCTGTATTAATTAGAATTCATATCTTCTTTGACGAAGTTAATTAAGTGGTTATTATTAGAATATAAGTATTATGAAATTATCGTACTTTTGGTGTGTTTTTCTGAGATAGATTTTTCTTTAATAGCGAACGAAATATACAGATGAATACAAATACATAATTGAAAAGTTAAACATATTGACGGCTCGTTAAGGTTCATGTTGATGAACTGTATGATTCATTGATCAAAGAGTAGAATTGAAATAACAAAGAAAATGCCTGAATTGTTTTATCTCGGGTGTTTTTTTTAATAATAAAGCGTACAAACATATATTAGATTTTTGCAAACAGTAGATAGTTCGTAAATCCAAAAATTCGAGAAGGTAGTTAAGAATTTGTCTACGTGTTGAGTAAGAAATATACTGAGAGAGAAGCAATTCCAATACTTCGAAAAAACTTTTTAATTACATTAAGAAGACACGTAGAAATAATCCTTTTCAAATCACTTTAATGTAAAGTCGCATCAGTTATATGAATATAGCATACAACAAAGAATGAAACTTTCTACACGATTTAATACACGAGAAACTTTACTTACAGATATTTCGCATTTTGATAACTACAGATACGTTGATTTTTTTTCATGCAACTCTCTCTAACTCTTCTCAATCACGTTTTCTCCCTACCTTCCCGCTATTGAAACAAAAAAGTCAATGAAACAGGAAGAAAACATAAGATTGCCCGTTTCTTTGAATGAAAAAGATAGACATCCGAGAGACGTACGTGAGTGTCGTTTCCTGGCAGGAGTTATCAGTGATCGCCAAATAGCCTCTTTCTATTTGCTGGCCCAGGGATTTCCAATTTTGACACGATCTGGTCGCGCTCAGGATATCGTCTAAGACTGATCGTTTCGAAGCCAAACTTACGACACGATAATACGGTTGAGGTGATCCGAGCAGGACGAATGCAAGAAAATGAATGTTCACGACGAAATGCTGGCAGGTTGCGTTGATCAGCGTAGCAGCGTGACGCTGTCCAACGCGTAAGCGCCGTATGCAAGGGGTCGCGAATGTGATCTCATAAATCTCGGTAGCCACGCAGGCATTCTCGCAGTGGAATCAATGTCAAAAAAGGGAAAGCATCCATCGTTTTTCCCCTCCGGGAACGCGCTGAAGAAAGTTGATGCTGTCTCGTTTGATGCGGTTTGGTACTGACCTTTTCTGGATCGATAATCCACGAATCTAGCTGAAGGGATGACTAGACGGTGCAGGTTGTGAAGGGTGAATAATGGGCGTCTACAACAAACTATGGACGGAAGAGTTAGGAAAAGGATTTTAACGATTATTAGATTTAGACACCATATTTATATAAGTAGACCGAGGATGTTTATGTATTTATAGAAAATTTTGAATGTTTATATACATGATAGATAAAAATGTAGGAAGTATTAATATTTTAATACTTATGATGATAATAAGTAGATGAAGTAATTTTCTGTAAGATGTGAATATTACTGCGTGATTGAGTTTTTTAAGAAAGAAATACGAAGTTCGACAAGGATCTCTAAGGCTAATAAGAAACAGTGGTATCAACCTTAGAATCAGTCAGATTATAGATTTGTTAATGAAATTAAGAAAGAGAGACGAAATAAGGAAGCTAAACATGTTGAGTTAGGAAGTAATACATATACGGATTACGATCTGCTATAAAAAGATAGACGGGAGGACAAGGTATGCATCTATCAGACGCTGTGCACCGGTACAGAGAAAGATGTACTTAGATTAATTAGATCGTGACAACATTTATAATTAATACTTTGACCGATGGTATCTTAATGCATAAGTCGTGTACTTACATGTAATGCATATAAATTTGTACGAATTTTTTTAATAACTTTTAACACCTTCTTATTCAGGACACTCAGTTTCCTTTTTAACAAAATTTACTATATATATACAAACAATGTATAATTACATGATATCAACAGATGCTTGTACAGAGTTAACAACACCGCGACAGAATTCATCTATTTTTCGCTCATTGAAAGGTAAAAGACTTGTATGATATGCAAGTGATTATAATTTACCACCCCATTTAACCGCTTATTTCTATCACTTTTATATATAAGCTCCCAGAAGTCCCTACAAGTGTAAGCAATTGAGCAGTTCCTTGGTTTTTTGAACAACAATTGCGAATATATCCGTTATAAATGATCGTTATTTACTAGTATCGCTATACGAACTCAAGATGCACCGAATCCGCGTTCTCGATGTACTTGTATTTTTCGTTCTCGAAAAGCTTCTTCAGGTGCTTGACGAATTTCTCGTGATATTCCTCGACTTGTTCTCTCGTTGGTTCTTCTATCTTTGGTAACTCCATCGGACTGCCGACTGAGAAAAAAAATTAATTAGCATTAAAGAAGCTGGAATTTCCTCTATGAGAAAATAAAAATTTTCAAACGTATTCCAAACACCAAAGTCTCTTCCCTAAAATTATATTTCTCGAAAGATTATTGTATTATAGAGCTAGATATTTCTCAGCTTTGAACACTTACCAACGACAGTAACTGGTTTCCGTCGAGGGATAAGACCGAAAGTGTATTGGAAGAATCCCCGACCAACCAGTAGAACCGGCGGTATACCGATTTTCTTACGAATGTACTCCTGTAGTCTCTTCACGAACGAGCCATCTGGCCAGGAAAATTGATCGAAAGTATCCGTTTCTCCGAATGAACAGACAGGAACCAGAGCGTTTCTGAAACAAACGAATACCGCGAGTGTCACTTCGATTTTTAAGCGACAGATGCTCTTGATTAAACCGCTGATTTATGTGACTCTATAGGGAAGTAACAGTTGCAATAATGTACAAGTGACTATACTTCATGCACGCTAAATCAGATTTGTGTAGGGCCACGGCGTTCAAAGAGACGAGGTTTCTACTGTTTTAAGTTCTCATGAGATTAAGATTCGAGTGAACGAAAAGAAAGATTATACCGACCCATTTTGCAGCGCGAGCTTTACAAAGCCTTTCCTCCTTTTTATCAGGATGCGGTAAGTGCCCGGCTTACATTCGAATACTTCTGCCGCTCCGCCGGGAATCAGAACCGTCGCCTTTCCGGTGTACGGTGGCGAAGGTCTTGTCGATAGTTGTTGATTCATGCACTCTGGAGTACTAGCAAGGCCGCCTATTTATATACCGATTTCAAATAAGTCATAATCATATGGTTGAATTATAATAGTTATTTGGTAGCAAAATAGCAGAGATGTAAAATTAGAGAAGTCAACCACCAAAAAGAAATCGTTGAAAAGTTGGTATGATGATGTAAGAAATGTTAGGCACTTGGACTTCGTGTTTTATGACTTTGTCATTTCATTAACAGAAATTACGCAGCAATAAAGTATGCGCATTAACAGTTGTATAGTAGGTACATTGTACAAACAGTTCAAAGTATTTCATTTATAAAATATGTTTCTTACGCTAGAGCCAATTTATACCGAAATGACCGTCATTAATAAACAACAGATATTTACATGTCTCAGACGAGATGTATTTGCAAAACATGGTGCAATGATTTTACTCTTCGTATTAAAGGATATTATGATTCGTTTCAAGATGCAACATCCAATAGTAAAATTAAAGTTAGAAATCATTAAAGTATGTAAAAACCATATTGTTACTTGGCAAGCTTCTTCCTTCCGGATTCTTTAATTTCTGGATTGTAAATCAGACGGAGAAGTTTCTTCTAAATTTATAGATAGGTTGTGAATGAAAATCCAAGCAACGATATTTGAACAGTAAAGCTATGCAATATTGCGTAGATATGCAGAACAAGTAGAAAATATATGTGCATATTGCTAAGTAAAATAAATTTTTCATCTATTCATTCCAACAAGAGGTATTTATATGTAAATGTAAATGTAGCAAATTTGTACCCTATATAGCAAATAGTAAGAAACATTATTGCCATGTTTCACAATATTTAATGAAAACTTTTAATCTATTGATTCTAGAAAAGATAACAAATACTGCTTACTAAATTATTAATTAATTATCCTCATCTACGCTGTGATTAAATTCAAATGTCGTTAATAAATCAAAATGTTCCAATACATATGAATAATAGCGTAAGCGTATATGCACTGTGTGATCGAATAAAAAATAATAAATAATACGTACCGCAGGAGCGAAAATACTCGCGGAAAAACGGCGACTTATAGAAAACATCAAGTATGACGATCCTAAATTCGAGACCCGGGAAAAGTTCTCTACAGCCGAGGATGTCTGTTCCGAATGCACCATAAACTCCTGTCGGTAGGATCCCATGCGGGAAACTACAGAATAAATACAACTTGTTCGGATCCAAATCAGTGGTTTTCACTAATTTTATAGGAAAGTAGTTACAGAAGTATCGGTTCCACGCGCAGCTTCTAATCCATTGCAGGAATTTTCGCCTGTAGTACAGAAATCCAACTCGTTAAGTCACATCTCCGCTGATGATTGTATAAATAAACGGCTTCAGTATTCAAATGAAATTTTCATTGCGGGCAGTTCGCTCAGGAACAGCATATATTATGGATAAAATTTGTTACTATGAATATTTAATAGAAATCAAATTTCGTCTAATCAAAAAAATAAAATGTTTATTCTATTTATGTCATTGATTTTAATCAATTCTTTCTATAATTCTCGTTCAACGTGCGTATCAAGTCGCGTTTCACTCTTTAGTTACTCGTTTATGTAACGAGAAGGATTATTATCGATTAGTTATCTAAATCATATTTATCAAATTGTAAGACCTTAATATATATCTTCGAATTTTTAGAAGATGTCGCAGGCGTGTAATAGTATTTCTAGCCAATTCCAATTCTCTGGTTCTTTTTGAATATTCATCGACAAGCTTTGCAGTAATGTAACTCTTAACAAGTTATTATATTACATTATTTTCCGTATTTATTCCTTCACTCCTACGTTTAAAAATGTAGTTCCTTTTGTTCATTTTGTAACATAGGGCTGAAGCTTGCAAATAAAATAAATAAATAAATGTTTCGAACTTACCGTATTTTGCCTATATCGAACTTGTTCCAATCGTAATACATCCAGGCGAAGTAAAGCAATACGAAGTAGCGCATGGTTTGGGTGAAGAAAAGAAAATAGGCGGTGAGAATAGTATTCAAATGAAATTTTCATTGCGGGCAGTTCGCTCAGGAACAGCATATATTATGGATAAAATTTGTTACTATGAATATTTAATAGAAATCAAATTTCGTCTAATCAAAAAAATAAAATGTTTATTCTATTTATGTCATTGATTTTAATCAATTCTTTCTATAATTCTCGTTCAACGTGCGTATCAAGTCGCGTTTCACTCTTTAGTTACTCGTTTATGTAACGAGAAGGATTATTATCGATTAGTTATCTAAATCATATTTATCAAATTGTAAGACCTTAATATATATCTTCGAATTTTTAGAAGATGTCGCAGGCGTGTAATAGTATTTCTAGCCAATTCCAATTCTCTGGTTCTTTTTGAATATTCATCGACAAGCTTTGCAGTAATGTAACTCTTAACAAGTTATTATATTACATTATTTTCCGTATTTATTCCTTCACTCCTACGTTTAAAAATGTAGTTCCTTTTGTTCATTTTGTAACATAGGGCTGAAGCTTGCAAATAAAATAAATAAATAAATGTTTCGAACTTACCGTATTTTGCCTATATCGAACTTGTTCCAATCGTAATACATCCAGATGAAGTAAAGCAATATGAAGTAGCGCATGGTTTGGGTGAAGAAAAGAAAATAGGCGGTGAGAATATATCCCACGAAATATCCAAGTGCGCAAATTAGGATCCAAAGCGCGACTGAGAGGGTTTCTAATCTTCGATTTAATGGTACTCTTAACGGAGCGAATTTCACTCCCAGAATCTCCATCGTTTTTCTCTCAGTTCCTCCTCTTATTACAGTAGCATCAATTCAGCGATTCTTCTTCGGCCTAGCTAATAATAAACCAATTCGTACTATCGTTATTATAAATTGTCGTATCAAGCAATTATCAAATTTCACAGCAAATACGAGCGAAGGGATTGGAAACGAAAGAATTGGAGTGAAAGAAGTAAAAACGAAAGATGATTAACAATTTGAAAGAAAGTCGTATTCATAAAATTAATAGAAACGATTACATGTATGTATATCCAAGTGATAAAATAATGAAACGGATCATTATCGTCAACGAATGATCAAAAGCCGGAAATAAGCAAAATAAAGATATCAAATTCTACATTTCATCATTGCTATCAGAAAGAACAGAATCTTTATTTCTGAATTTTTTTAACGACAGATCAGAGGCATAGCTTTGGGGAAAGTGTTTTATTTTATTTGAATCACGTTCCTTCTGCGATTTTATAATGAATTGCACTTAGCTAATGCATCGGATAATCTTTGCACCTCTTTAATGTAATTTCTTTGAAGATCCATCGTCAACCATCCGAATGTCTTGAATATAAGGTTTCCATACTGTTTCCCTTGCGTTATTACATAAAGTCGCAATGCCAAAAAATGATCATACGGTACTAAGTCTGGCGAACAGGGTGGATAATGCAAGAATTTATTTTTTTGTTTTTGTTTTCGAGAAAAGCAGCTACAGCCACAGTAATGTATTTTAATGCTTACAAGTCACCAAGGTATCTTAATATTCAGAAGTATCCGATTTCCTTTATGTTAATGTTCAAAGTTACTCACGGTTTCTTTAACTCGAAGAATCTCTTCGACTGCCCCAAATCACATTTTGTCTGAATCTATTTGAAAGAGTCAATGAAACGACAAGAATACGTAAGATTCTCCGTTCCACCGAATCCAAAAACTAGATTATGAAGGAACGTACCTGAGTGTCGTTTCTTAGTACGATTGATCAGTGACGGCCAAATAGCCTCTGTGTATTTGCGAATTCGGCGATTGTTGTTCACGACACAGTTATGGTGCGTTGTGATACTAGAGACAGACTTCCACCGCGAGAACACTGTTGAAATAGCGAACACAGGGCAGGACGGAAAGAAGATAAATACTCGCGACGAAATTCGTGGCTCGGCGTAACGCTGTGTACTCTGAGCGGCGTTTGCAAGAGTTCGCGAACGCAATCACGTGTTTCTCGGTAGCTAAGCAGCATTTCTTGAAAAGGGGTGATTTAATGACGTGAAAGGAGAAGGCTCCGTCTTTTTTCCTCTGTAGGAATGAGATGTTGAAAAGTGACGCCAGCTAGTCTGATGCAGTTTAGTCCCGATCGATCCGATCGATCGATAATCCGTTGATCCAACTGATCGAACGACTGGGCGGTGGTAGTTGCAAAGGGTGAGTAATGGGCGCCTGTCACACACTATGGACGGAAGAGTTGGGAAAATGATTTTAAGGATTACTAGATTTAGCTTATATATTTATGATAAGTGGACTGAGAATGTGTATGCGTTTATCGGAATTTGTGGATGGGAGGGCGCATGCAATGTTTATCTACGTGATAGATAAAAATGTAATACTTATTATGATAATTAATAGGTAGAGCAATTTTTTGCAAAATATGAACATTTATGCGTGGTTCAATTTTTCATGAAAGAAATGCGAAAAGAAAGACAAGGATCTCTTAAGCTAATAACAGCGGTATTAATTGTTCCATTACCGATATTATGAATTTTTTTAGTTAAATTAAGGAGAAGAAACAAAATAGGGAAAGATAAACATGTTGAGTAGAGCTTCAGTAGAGTTAAAGTATCTTTAGCAATAAGATAATCGTACTCCATATCTTTCCCTTTTTTTTTGCCTTCCATATCTCCAGTGAAAAGGTCAAACTTCTCGTCGCGTGTACCAGAAGCGTATCAAACAATTCTTCTGCTGAGGCAATGTGTTTATTGCACAATAATTATACATATATATGTCGGAGAAGAGTCAGGAACAGGGTTGTGGGCGTTTGATAGACCTCCCTTGGAGTTAGTTATCGTTGTGTTATAACGAAGATACGGCCTGATACTACGAGTATGAACACTATCGATTCGACGATTAACAGCGGTGGTTGGGCACTTGCGATGCTAGTGACGTTGGTCTTAGGTTCGATAACGAATCGGGATAACGAAACGGGATGAAAGATACACTTACTCTAACTTAAACGTGCACTACTCATGGATCGTAAGGCGCTACTCCCTTCGTCGATGAGATCTCCAGAAAGAATGAATTTTCGTCCCAATGATGCCACAGAGGAAAACTATGACGGGGTGTGTCCAAAGACACGAGATCATCGGATTCGTCGAGTATAGCCCTCGTTCCGAAAGTAAAGGAAATTGACGTCGCTGTAAATTGGTCAATTTGGGACAAAGACTGCCTGTCCGTTTGAAAATCTTAATTACCAAAAAACCCAGGCTAACTGAACTTGTGCTGTGTAAGTGCCTCAACATCTGGTATTCATTGTCCTAAGGAACCGTTGGAATGTTTTACTGTCAAGTACCTCTATTGGTATTTCTTTTAATGAGGATCATGTTATAACTCCACTTCTTTGTTAGACGAAGCGCCCGTCCCGTTAACCGCGGCTACGTTCGGCGACTGATGGTCGCCTTGAGCCCAAGTTTATTATCACAAATCGCAAACAATTGAGCAGAATGACGGCAAATTGTTTAATTACGACTGTAAACTTTAATTATAATTTTACGGATTTTCCCGAAGTTCCAGAGGGAAGGCTCCGGTGTCCTTTCATCTCCGACATATACATATAAAAAAGAAAAGAGAACCGGGTCAAAGGGAAAAGTGTGCATCTATTAGAGTGCACCGATACCAAAAGAAAAATATACCTCGATTAATTATTCGTATTTACTGTATTATCATCGCGACAACTTCAATTAATTTAACCACTGAATCGAATAGGTGCACATACTGTAACGTATTGTAGTGCATAACAATTTGTATGAATCTTTTTAACAATTTCTAACAATAACTGTTTTGTATAAAAGACTCAGTTTTGTTTGTAACAAAGGTTGCTATATATACAAGAAATGGTCCATTTCATTTTATCAACAAATATGTTTGCACATATGTTTATCAGCCATACTACGAAAGATCGCAGTCATTTTTTGCTTACTGACAAATACGAGGCTTGCATGCTACGCGCGTGATTATTTATCACCTCGTGCAAGCACATTTTTCTATTGCATTTATGTATATCTTCCTAGAAGCCCAAAGAAATAAGGCGTTTTAGAAGTCACGTAAGATTCTATGAAAATTATAAAAAAGTAGACACTACAGGTTTGTCACCAAATCACATGCACAGAGTAGATAGCAACTATTCTAATTTACATTCTCTGTTATCTGCTTTATGCATATGTGCAATTATTGTAGTATCAACGACCGCATTTCATAAAATATATATGTTCTTATATAAAAATGTAATTACATATGGAAAAAGTATAATTGTTTATGGAATATGTTCAGTTTAAATACATACATCTGAATGCTATTGTTTCTTCAACTATTAAAAATGCAAACGTACTCTTCGTATAAAAGTTATTTCATTCGATGATGAATTAAACGATGGATTCAAAGAAATAGATTAAACAAAATTTGGACAGTTTTCTTCGACAATAAAACCTTCATACAAAAGATTATTCGTATTTCTAACAACTGAAGGTATGGTAACGTGCGTACATTTAAACTGGACATACTGTATAGCTCTTCGGTCCTTATTCATAATACCATAATTCTATTGGTTCTTTTCTATGTAGAGTTCTTAAGACACGTAATTATCGAATTGACTACATCGCCTAACAATTGTCCATTTTCTGCTCAACTATTTCACATCTTAAAACTTATTTAATACATAAATACACGTTGTACGTTTATAATTGAGCAATTTCTTGGTCCTTCACTGCGCGGGTCCGTTGTAAATGATGATTATTTCGCGATATGACTATACGAACTCAAGATGCACCGAATCCGCGTTTTCGATGTACTTGTGTTTCTCGTTCTCGAAAAAGTTCACCAGGTGCTTGACGAATTTCTCGTGATATTCCTCGACTTGTTCTCTCGTTGGTTCTTCTATCTTTGGTAACTCCATCGGACTGCCGACTGAGAAAAAAAATTAATTAGCATTAAAGAAGCTTGGAATTTCCTCTATAAGAATATAAAAATTTTCAAACGTATTCCAAACACCAAAGTCTCTTCTCTAAAATTATATTTCTCGAAAGAGTATTGTATTATAGAGCTAGATATTTCTCAGCTTTGAACACTTACCAACGACAGTAATTGGCTTCCGTCGAGGGATAAGACCGAAAGTGTACTGGAAGAATCCTCGACCAACCAGTAGAATCGGCGCTATACCGATTTTCTTACGAATGTACTCCTGCAGTCTCTTCATGTATGAGCCATCTGACCAGATCACTTGATCGTAAATGTCCGTTTCCCCGAATGAATAAACGGGAACCAGAGGATTTCTGAAACAAACGAATTCCGCCATTGTCACATCGGTTTTTAAGTGACAGATACTCACGATTAGACCGCTGATATTTATGCCTCTTTAGGAAGTAACAATTGCAATAATGCACAATATGTCACATAGTATGAAAGAATATGCAAAATATCGAAGGTATATAATAATGTAGTGGATTGACTAAAATTATACCTAGGTTCTATTTGTTTAATTAGGTTTATAAAAGTACGAATTTGCGTGAATATCAGCAGTGTCGTGACCACAAAATTTTAATCACGATGCACGATTTAGGGTGGATTTTATCTGGTCTTCTATAGTCTTCTCTATGAGATACTTCTACCGTATACAGCATAGGACACAAAGTATAATAAAGTATTTTAATCGAAGGACATTAAGACGACTATACTTCATACACGCTAAATCAGATTTGTGTACGGGCACGATGTTCAAAGAGACGAGGTTTCTAATGTTTTAGGTTCTCAAGAGATTAAGATACGAGAGAACGAGAAGAAAGATTATACCGACCCATTTTGCAGCGCGAGCTTTACGAAGCCTTTCCTCCTTTTTATCAGGATGCGGTAAGTGCCCGGCTTACATTCGAATGCTTCTTCGAATGCTTCTGCCGCTCCGCCGGGCGGCTTACATTCGAATGCTTCTGCCGCTCCGCCGGGGATCAGAACTGTCGCCTTTCCCGTGTACGGTGGCGAAGGTCTCGTCGATAGTTGTTGTTTTATACACTCTGCACTGCTAGCAAGGGCGCCTATTTATGTACCGATTTCAAATGAGTCATAATTAAATGGTTGAATCATAATAGTTATTTGGTAGCAAAATAGCAGAGATGTAAAGTTAGAGAAGTCAACAACTAAAAAGAAATCGTTGAAAAGTTGGTATGATGATTTAAGAAAAGTTAGAAACTTGGACTTCGTGTTTTATGACTTTGTCATTTCATTAACGGAAATTACGCAGCAATAAAGTATTTCATTTATAAAATATGTTCCTTATGCTAGAGCCAATTTATACCGGTGTTTTTCACAAACAGATTCAAAAAAATACACATCGCGTTCAGAAGTGATCGTCATTAACAAACAACAGATATTTACATGTTTCAGAGGAGATGTATTTGCAAGACAGAGTGCAATGATTTTACTCTTCGTATTAAATGATATTATGGTTCGTTTCAAGATGCAACATCCAATAGTAAAATTAACGTTAGAAATCATTAAAATATGTAAAAACCATATTGTTACTTGGCAAGCTGCTTCCTTCCGGATTTTTTAATTTCTGAATTGTAAATCAGACGGAGAAGTTTCTTCTAAATTGATAGATAGGTTGTGAATGAAAATTCAAGCAACGATATTTAAACAGTAGAGCTATGCAGTATTGCATAGATATATAGAACAAATAGAAGGTATATGTGTATATTACTAAGTAAAATAAATTTTTCATCTGTTCATACCAAATAGAAGTATTTATATGTAAATTTAAATGTACCAAATGTGTACCTTATATAACAAATAGTAAGAATCATTATTGCCATGTTTCTCAATGTTTAACGAAAGTTTTTAATCTATTGATTCTATAAAAGATAACGAATACTGCTTGCTGAATTATTAATTAATTATCCTCATATACGCTGTGATACAATTCAAAACTGTCAATGAAACAAAGTATCGCAATACTTATGAATAATGGCGTAAGTACATGCGCATGCGTTTACGGTCGGTGGTGAAATAATAATTAGTGAATAATACATACTGTTGATGTGCAAATACTCGCGGAAAAGCGGCGATTTAAAAAGTTGATCAAGTACGACGACCCTAAATTCGAGACCCGGGAAAAGTTCTCTACAGCCGACGATATCTGTTCCGAATGCACCATAAACACCTGTCGATAGGATCCCATGCGGGAAACTACAGAATAAATACAATTTGTTCGAATCCAAATCAGTGGTTTTCACTAATTTTATAGGAAAGTAGTTACAGAAGTATCGGTTCCACGCGCAGCTTCTAATCCATTGCAGGAATTTTCGCCTGTAGTACAGAAATCCAACTCGTTAAGTCACATCTCCGCTGATGATTGTATAAATAAACGGCTTCCATATTCAAATGAAATTTTCATTGCAAAAAGTTCACTCAAGGACCGCATATATTATGGATAAATGTATTACTATGAATCTTTAATATAAACCAAGATTTATCTAATCAAAATTGTAAAATGTTTATTCTATTTATGTAACTGATTTTAATCAATTCTTTCTATAATTCTCTTATTTACTCGTTTATGTAACAAGAAGGAATATTATCGATTCGATATCTGAATCACATTTATCAAATGATAAGATCTTAATATAAATCTTCGAATATCTAGAAGATGTCGCAGACGTGTGATGGTATTTCTAGCCAACTCCAATTCTGGTTCTTTTTGAATATTCATCGACAAGCTTTGCAGTAATGTAACTCTTAACAAGTTATTATATTACATTATTTTCCGTATTTATTCCTTCACTCCTACGTTTAAAAATGTAGTTCCTTTTGTTCATTTTGTAACATAGGGCTGAAGCTTGCAAATAAAATAAATAAATAAATGTTTCGAACTTACCGTATTTTGCCTATATCGAACTTGTTCCAATCGTAATACATCCAGATGAAGTAAAGCAATATGAAGTAGCGCATGGTTTGGGTGAAGAAAAGAAAATAGGCGGTGAGAATATATCCCGCGAAATATCCAGATAGGAAAATTAGGATCCAAAGCGCGGCTGAGAGCGTTTCCAATCTTCGATTTAATGGTACTCTTAGCGGAGCGAATTTCACTCCCAGAATCTCCATCGTTTTTCTCTTAATTCCTCCTCTTATTACAGTAGCATCAATTCAGCGATTCTCCTTTGGGTCCGCTAATAATAGACCAATTCGTACTATCGTTATTATAAATTGTCGTATCAAGCAATTATCAAATTGTACAGCAAATACGAGCGAAGGGATTGGGAACGAAAAAATTGGAGTGATAACAGGTAATCACGAACGATGATTAAAATTTGAAAGAGAATCGTACTCGTAGCATTAATAGAAACGATTATGTATATCCAAATGATAAAATAATGAAACGGATCATTATCGCCAACGAATGATCAAAAGCCTGAAATAAGCAGAATAAAGATATCAAATTCTATATTTCGTCATTGCTATCACAAATAACAGAATCTTTAGTTCTGAACTTTTGTAACGACAGATCAGAGGCATAGCTTTGGAGAAAATGTTTTATTTTATTTGAATCACGTTCCTTCTGCGATTTTATAATGAATTGCACTGTTAGCTAATGCATTGGATAATCTTTGCACCTTCTTTTATGTAATGCCTTTGAAAATACATCGTCAACCATCCGAATATCTTCAATATCGCTATAACGTTTCCCTTGCGTTATTATATAAAGTCGCAACGCCACAAAATAATCACACGGTGCTAAATCTGGCGAACGGAATGGGCGACGCAAGATTTTATTTTACTTTTTTTGTTTTCAAGAGAAGTAGCTACAGCCACACCAATGTATTTTAATGCTTACAAGCTACCAAGGTATTTTAATATTCAGAAGTATCCGATTTCCTTTATGTTAATGTTCAAAGTTACTCACGGTTTCTTTTAATCGAAGATTCTCTTCGACTGCCCCAATTCACATTTTGTCTGAATGTATTTGAAAAAGTCAATGAAACGACAAGAATACGTAAGATTCTCCGTTCCACCGAATCCAAAAACTAGATTATGAAGGAACGTACCTGAGTGTCGTTTCTTAGTACGATTTATCCGTGACGGCCAAATAGCCTCTGTCTATTTGCGAATTCGGCGATTCTCGTTCACGACACAGTTATGGTGCGTTGTGATACTAGAGACAGACTTCC